AGCATACATGACAATACTACTATGCATGAAAGAATTCATTTACAACATTTCATAAACGGTGCTATGGACTTCAATGTTCATAATGAACTCATTAAAACAATATTGTTATGAACAACATAGTGGAAAATGGATAACATTAGTTTAAATAAAAATAAAACAATGCCCTCATCTAATCTAAGGATCATTAAAAATAATATGAATGCAACTACCCTAACTTTGGTTCCTTGACCTTCAACGCAATATTGTCATCCATAAATGGGTATCTTACCTTTACTTTAAAATAAGAATAGCATGTGGTTTGAGTACTTTAATAAATACTCAGTAAGTAATCCCACTGTTAGCGTCGGAATATGAATCACATGTAATATAATGGGACCTATCCTTTCATAAATATATTATGACGTGGGCTTGGGCTTGGGCTTTGCTTTTCAATCCGAGCAGAGTTGAATATGTTGTACTTCCTTACACACGACCCATGAATGTGTACATTAACCACCAAGTGGGTTTGTATAAGAGTATTCTAAAGGTCTACCTCGTCTAGCTTGAGCACACTTACACTACCAAATACCATGAAGGCAAAAGACCCGCATAATATCATAAAGAACATAAATATTGTAAGGTATGTATCTGTACTGATCATAATGGGGAAGTATCCCGATGCACCTCCCATATAAAATGCATGAGATCCCTAACATTAAAACACGACATAACGTTCCTATGAGACAAACATACTTGATTCTTGTCATATTGTTCATGATTGACAATACATAGGCATAGAGTGTACTAAACATAATATAGAAGTATCTCGATGCACATGGTATACAAAATGCATGAGGTCCCATAACATTAAAGCATGACATATACTCATTGCGCTAGTCATACCTCCAATCTATTCCTAGCATAGTGTTTCTATGAGAGATAAATACTTGATTCATTTCATATTTTTAATAATTAACAATACATAATTTTCTAATGTCTCATTGTCATAGAGTGTACGTATTAACATAGTTTACATGAAATGATACATGAAGGATCATGCACCAAATAACAGCAAACCATAACATTGTTCTATGACATAACATAATCCTACAATAGTGTATATGATATCGTAGTGTAACTTTCATGCAACATATCGTATATCATAGCATATACATAACATTGTATATGTCATACAATCATAAAACACGACATGTGCAGGGACAACAAGTAGCGATGTCCATTCCCTGTCATCATCCCCACCATCTATTTCATTCTCCGTTTCAACGAAATCCTCTATTTATTTGTGTGGGGACCAGGGTAAGGGATTCATCGCAAGGAAGTGGCAGGGATCGAATTCCCCATGGAGAATTTTAGTGGGTTTTGAATCCAAGAGTCAGTCTTAGAGGAAAAGGCCCAGAGTGTTGAAGATGAAAGGCCAAGAATCTTTAAAGGAACAATGACTTTTTATGGGTCGGGAAACAATGGCATCCTGATGTCTGTATTTAGTTTTAGAAGACCTTATACATTTGTTATTTCTATTGTAAAATGGTAAAGCGTAGAGAGAGAAAAAAAAAAGATACAGAGAAGCAATAGAAGAAGTATTTTCAAATAAACAGAGTGTTCTTTATCTCCTTCTATCATTAGTTCGTGTGAGATTTATTTCACAAATTTGTGAGTTTTCTTTAACAAATTGGTATCAAGCCAATGGCGAATGTGACAGGTCAAATGCTGCTACCGCGACTATCGAAGACAAAATTTGAGAATTGGAGCATTCATATGAAAGCTCTTCTCGGTTCTCAAGATGCATGGGAGGTGGTCGAAGAAGGGTTAGAAGAACCAAAAGAGGTGCGATCAAAGGATAAGGGGGCACTGTACATGTTGTTCTGAGTCGTTGACGAGTCGGGCTTTGAGAAGTTTGCCAGTGCAACTACTTCAAAAGAATCGTGGGACACTTTAGTAAAAACGTTCAAAGGAATCGACCGAGTCAAGCAAGTGCGTCTCCAAACTCTTCGTGGCAAGTTGGAGAACACGAAGATGAAGGAGTCAGAAAATGTATCTGACTACATCATGCATTTACAGACTGTGGTAAACCAACTCAACCGAAATGGAGAAATGTTAGCCGAGCCGCGGGTTTTGGAGAAGATTTTAAGGTCATTAACCAACAACTTTGAGAATGTTGTACGCGCGATATTAGAGTCAAATGACCTAGCGACGTTCATAGTCGATGAGCTAGCCGGTTCTCTCGAGGCACACGAACAACATAAGAAGAAGAAGTAGCAAAGACTCGATCAAGCACTTCAAACCAAGGCATCAATCAAAGATGAAAAGGTACTCTACTCTCAAAATTTTGAAGGTAGAGATTGTGGCCGTGAAAGTAGTAAAAATTGTCATGGTGATCAAGGCAACAGTCATGAAGGATACTTTAAGAAGATGGGATAGTCGAGCCAAGAAAATTGGCGTGGAAGAGCATGCAGTCGAGGAAGAGGTGGCCGATCAATTTACTCCAACATTCAGTGCTACAAATGTCACAAATATGGTCACTCTGCGAATGATTTTAACTTCGACAAATGTTACAATTGTGGCAGAGGGGCATTTTGCAAAAGATTCTTGAGTCGATAAAAAGGTGGAAGAAACAATCAACCTAGCCTTGGATGACGCAACAAATGAAGGTCTTCTCTTGATGTCTCAAAATGAAGATCGGAAAGCGAAAGAACACAATGCAGAAAAATACGATGGTGGTAGTTATGAGGTGGTGGAATCCGTTGGAAATGAGGGGATATGCAGCGGATTTGGCAAAATCGCGATATCGGAGACGAGAAAATCGAAGAAGGAATCTGGATTGAACACGCGATCGGCGAACGAGCCAAAGAAACTTCCAGATCATCAGAAGGAGAACAGAGATTTAGAGCAACAACCAAAATCTGTCGTGGATAAATCTGTGGAGAAGTCTCAGTTGCAGACGTTGAAATCGTCGAACGAGATGCCTTTTGAAGGAGAAAGTAGACATTGAAAAAGAAGAAAGCTTTTAGAAGTGGAGATTGAAAGGTTAGAGAATGGGAAGGTAATTTCTGCTGATGAATCGTGGGTACAAAACTGGAGGTGAGCGCTGGGAAGTGAAATTCTTTACATTGAAGCATGGCACCATGCAGATCGGGTCGAACATCCTTTGAGTCAAACTGGGTTAGATGTGGGCGTGGGTCGGAAGAGCTACCGCGTGTCACGCATATCGAGTGGAGCCGCATCACTTTACAATGCGCTTGACGCGTTCTTCCACCCAATCGTGAACACGAGTCCCTCAAGCTGTCTAATGCGCTTTCCCTCCCGCAAGTTAAATTTCTCTCCTGACTACACTTAATCTTGCCTTCAAAGTCAGTTCATTTACCTCCTTGTTCCTCGAACCTCTAACCATCTGAGCTAATAGGTCATAGGTTTTATGTACATTACAGATCGTTAGCTCCTAATCCAGTCAATCGAGTTTCGTTTACATAACTTCATGCATAATAAATTTTAAAAAGTCTGTTGTCTTTTAAAGTTCGAAGTGTTTTAACTCGTATCATGAAAAGATATCATTAAAAATTAATGAAATTGGCGCATGCAGGTGTCGAACCTGCGACCTTTGCATTATTAGCACGACGCTCTAACCAACTAAGCTAATAGGCCATAAGTTTTATGCACATTGTAGATCAATAGCTCCTAATTTAGTCAATCGAGTTTAGGTTACATAATTTTATGCATAATAAAATTAAAACTTCAAGTCATTATCTTTAAAGTTCGTAGTGTTGTAACCCCGTATCATGAAAAGATATTATTAAGAATTAATAAAATTTAGCCTATGTATTTGTCGAACCTACAACCCTTCACGTTATTAGCACAACAACCTAACCAACTGAGCTGATAGGTCATAGGTTTTATGTACATTATAGATCATTAGCTCCTAATCCAGTCAATCGAGTTTGGTTTACATAACTTTATGCATAATAAACTTAAAAAAGTCATTATCTTTTAAAGTTCGTAGTGTTTTAACCGTATCATGAAAAGATATCATTAAAAATTAATGAAATTAGCCCATGAAAGTGTCCATGAAAGTGTCGAACCTGCGACCTTCACGTTATTAGCATGACACTCTAACCAACTAAGCTAACAAGCCATAGGTTTTATGCACATGGTAGATCAATAGCTCCTAATTTAGTCAATCAAGTTTAGGTTACATAATTTTATGCATAATAAAATTAAAACTTCAAGTCATTATCTTTAAAGTTCGAAGTGTTGAACCCCGTATCATGAAAAGATATTATTAAGAATTAATAAAATTTAGCCTATGTATTTATCGAACCTACAACCCTTCACGTTATTAGCACAACAACCTAACCAACTGAGCTGATAGGTCATAGGTTTTATGTACATTATAGATCATTAGCTCCTAATCCAGTCAATCGAGTTTGGTTTACATAACTTTATGCATAATAAACTTAAAAAAGTCATTATCTTTTAAAGTTCGTAGTGTTTTAACCGTATCATGAAAAGATATCATTAAAAATTAATGAAATTAGCCCATGAAAGTGTCGAACCTGCGACCTTCACGTTATTAGCATGACACTCTAACCAACTAAGCTAACAAGCCATAGGTTTTATGCACATGGTAGATCAATAGCTCCTAATTTAGTCAATCAAGTTTAGGTTACATAATTTTATGCCTAATAAAATTAAAACTTCAAGTCATTATCTTTAAAGTTCGAAGTGTTGAACCCCGTATCATGAAAAGATATTATTAAGAATTAATAAAATTTAGCCTATGTATTTATCGAACCTACAACCCTTCACGTTATTAGCACAACAACCTAACCAACTGAGCTGATAGGTCATAGGTTTTATGTACATTATAGATCATTAGCTCCTAATCCAGTCAATCGAGTTTGGTTTACATAACTTTATGCATAATAAACTTAAAAAAGTCATTATCTTTTAAAGTTCGTAGTGTTTTAACCGTATCATGAAAAGATATCATTAAAAATTAATGAAATTAGCCCATGAAAGTGTCGAACCTGCGACCTTCACGTTATTAGCATGACACTCTAACCAACTAAGCTAACAAGCCATAGGTTTTATGCACATGGTAGATCAATAGCTCCTAATTTAGTCAATCAAGTTTAGGTTACATAATTTTATGCATAATAAAATTAAAACTTCAAGTCATTATCTTTAAAGTTCGAAGTGTTGAACCCCGTATCATGAAAAGATATTATTAAGAATTAATAAAATTTAGCCTATGTATTTATCGAACCTACAACCCTTCACGTTATTAGCACAACAACCTAACCAACTGAGCTGATAGGTCATAGGTTTTATGTACATTATAGATCATTAGCTCCTAATCCAGTCAATCGAGTTTGGTTTACATAACTTTATGCATAATAAACTTAAAAAAGTCATTATCTTTTAAAGTTCGTAGTGTTTTAACCGTATCATGAAAAAATATCATTAAAAATTAATGAAATTAGCCCATGAAAGTGTCGAACCTGCGACCTTCACGTTATTAGCATGACACTCTAATCAACTAAGCTAACAAGCCATAGGTTTTATGCACATGGTAGATCAATAGCTCCTAATTTAGTCAATCAAGTTTAGGTTACATAATTTTATGCATAATAAAATTAAAACTTCAAGTCATTATCTTTAAAGTTCGAAGTGTTGAACCCCGTATCATGAAAAGATATTATTAAGAATTAATAAAATTTAGCCTATGTATTTATCGAACCTACAACCCTTCACGTTATTAGCACAACAACCTAACCAGCTGAGCTGATAGGTCATAGGTTTTATGTACATTATAGATCATTAGCTCCTAATCCAGTCAATCGAGTTTGGTTTACATAACTTTATGCATAATAAACTTAAAACTATAAGTGATTATCTTTTAAATCTAGTATCATTAAATATATAATTATTGAGAATTAATGAAATTGACCATGCAAGTGACCTGCTGTAGCTCCTAATCTAGCCAATCGAATTTAGGTTACATAATTTAATGCATAATAAAACTTAAAACTCTCTAAATTAAAGTCATTATGAAATTAGCCCATCCAACCTTTGTGTTATTAACACGACGTTCTAACCAACTAAGCTAAAAGGCCACAAGTTTTATGCTCATTGCAGAGCAGTAGCCCCTAAACTAGTCAATCGAGTTTAGGTTACATAATTTTATGCATAATCAATATAAAATTTTAGGTCATTATCTTTTAAAGTTTGCAGTGCTTTAATCCCATATCATTAAAGATATCATTGAGAATTAATGAAATTGACCCATCCAAGTGGCAAACCTGCCACCTTCGCACTTAATTAGTGCGACAGCTAATGGGCCAAAGGTTTTATGCAAATTGCAGATCCATAGCTCCTAATGAAGCCAATTGAGTTTATGTTACATAATTTTATGCATAATAAAAGTTCAAACTTTCCAATTTTAAGACATTATCTTTAAAGATCGTAGTATTGTAATCTCATATCATGAAAATATATTATTAAGAGAATTAATGGTATTGTCCCACCGTAAAAGAGAGGTCCATCACTTCATTTTATAAGCCCACTTGAACTGTTTAAAGTCAGTCCAAGAATACATTTTTTTACGGCTCTTGGTCAATATTTTGGTTGATATGGCTTGGGTTTGATACGCTCGGACCCTTTCTTCTTTCAATTTTTCAGAAGCTCAAATTAGTTAAGCTATGGGAAATTAGTGAGCCCAACAACATCTCTCTAACTCACACAACTATATCGAACTCCGAGAAAACCTTTTAACCTTGCCTTCTTGGTTCATATGCTTGAGGAAACCCTTGTTTCTACATGTATGTATAACTATCTGGATTAGCTCTTAATGTTCAATATATCGTCGTGTGGGCCCATTCTTACCTCTCAATGACTAGAGCTATTGCTCTCTAAAACAAATGTTAACGAGTGTGAAGTTCTGACTTAGTAGCTCATGTGTCTTTGGCTCGGTCTACCTTAACCAAGTTGTCCAGGCCATAATCTAAAAAAATTCAAGTAGATTCAAGGCTCAGATCTCATGTTGGAATTAATTTTGGAATAACTTAGATATAACATTCAATCTTAATTCAAACCTTCAGTTTCTTCCTTTAAGTAGATCATGACTTGATTCGTCTATGTGTATTACTTTATCTTTTAAGTCATAAACTCTAAATCTTGCTAAAGTATCCAATCATTGACCACTTTGCTCATACAACCTCAAAGCTTCCTCTTACTTTTGTGCATAAACATAACAACAAAACAAAAAAAAAAAAAAATATATATATATATATATATATATGTGTTATTTCCTCAAATTTCTTGGTAACACTGAGTGACTTAATAAAACTCTCATTGCATAAGCATAATAAATGTTCTTGTATGTAGTAAAACTTGAGATAATTAAGAATAGTTTCATATACACATCTTGTCGTTTGATATTCATAACAAACCTTGATTCTTATAAAAGGTTTTAAGGGGTTGTTTCGTCATTTTTCTTAGAGTTCATACCTCAAACACGTTCTAATTTCCTCATGATCTTGCATACTTACCCTTAAGGTCATAAATGGGTCTCTTAAAAAGTTTATTTAACAATGGAGGTCTTTTGGAATCTTGAAAACATTTTAGAATTCTTATAGGGGTACGTTGGTCATTTACCACCCAAATCTTGGTTAAATATGGACATATACCAATGGCCTTGTAACTTTGTATAAAATCTTTGAATCATGACATATTGAAATGGCCTTCTAAGTATGTTATAGAAGAGACACAACTCATCGAATCCAATGACAAAATTTAAAATGGAGATCAGTTGCCCACTAATCAGAGAGAATATGTCTGTCATTCTCAACTTGTTAATACAATCTCTAATAAATACAAAGTTAACAGTGAGAAAAGAAAAAACAACCAAAGTTATTCTCCAATGTGAATAAGGTGGAGAATCTCAACTCCCATTTTAAGACTTCACAATATCTCACATTTATATTAAAACAAATAATAGGAGAGAGAAGGTAAAGATCCTATGAACTGATGAAGGTGCAGGCCATGGAAGTCAGTATAGACAATAATAGGGCAGTTGAATGTTTTGAATGTTTTGAATTTTAAGTTAGTACATGATAGGACATATTAGATTTCAGTCAATTTTGTTAGGTGTTTGTGTGAAGCTTGATTTTCCTTTAAAATGGTTGAATTTCATGTTTTAAATTAATTATGTAAGTCCATGGCCTTATTTTAAAAATGTCTATTATGAATTTCTGCATTTATGTGCAGGCATGAGTTGACGTCACTAATTAGCTCAAGAAAATTAGGGTATTACATTTTATGTTATGATATGAATGATATATATGTTATGAATCTACGGCGATATGAATGATATATAATGTTTGAACCTTCACATATTACACCACACATATTATGTTAACATGTTCAAGTTGTGCCAATGAGACATTGATAAACCATGTATATTAACCATAGAAGATTTGTCCAATATACGTGTGTATGTCTCATAGGAATTCTATGTCATGAAAAATAAAATGGATGTATGATTTGCATCATAACTATGTATCATGATTCGAAACTATAGGATCTCATTCATTTCACATGTCACATGCATCGAGAGACTTTCTCGTTATGATTATGTACACTATGATATTATGCATGCTCCTTCCCCTTTGTGGTTTCTGGCAACGTGAGTGTTCGCAAGCCTGCCATCAGATCCATAAGGTATGTATACGAGCTCACTTAATGGGTCCATGTGCGCATGTGTGTTTCGTGTATAGAAAAGTACTACGCATCAAACCTTACTCGAACTTGAAGAAGAGAATAAGGTCATGATGTGTGATGTCCCACATTAGTTGGGGAGAATAACAAATCACCCTTTATAAGGGTGTGGAAACCTTCCCCTAGCAGACGCATTTTAAAGCCTTGAGGGGAAGCCTGAAACGGAAAGTCCAAAGAGGACAATATCTGCTAGCGATGGATCTCGGTCGTAACATCATTGCTTCATTTAAGGTGTAATGCCTTTAGACCTAGATTTAGAATTTAAATCTAACTTGTAACTGTCTTGATATTATTTGAATCAACCACCCGAATTTAATTTAGAGTATTTAGAGCAGTGAATTTGAACCCAGAATTTAATTTAGAGTATTTAGAGTAGTGAATTTGAATCAACCACTAGAATTTAATTTAAAGTAGTTTTACTCTCATTTACTTTCGGGTTTTATTCCCATAGTAAATAACTAAAACAACTTTATTTTCTTGGTGGTTCTTAAAGGTTTGTTCCACAAAAGCAATAAAGATGCTACATTTTCATCCACTAACTTAGATCATTATTTAATAAGGTTGAGAACAACCATTTTTCCATGCGTGCAAGAACTCAAATTTGTTTAGAGGATTATTAATTACTATCTGCCAACCATATGCATCTTTCATTACCCCATGGATCAGAAAGCCATGTTCCCTTTTCTTACTAGAAAACCTCGAATGAAGCATGCCCTAATTTGCTCTCAAAGTCACACCAAAACAATGTCGTTCGAAAAAAATTCTCCTTAAAGTCCCAATAGAATTGGGTTCCTGGATTGACGATATGCACGCCTAAGTCCATAGCAAATCTAAAATTTTACGTTAGATACACCCCAACTAAGATAAATATATACATATAAATTTTAAGAAGTATACGAAAATAAAAACATTAAAATACGAAAATAAAACCATTAAAAACCTAATAAATATTATGTAAAAATTAAATAGTTTAATTTTTTGTTTTTAAAATTTCAAAACTTAAAATAAAAACTTGGATTCCACCATGAGTATGTAGAGATATATATATTCTCTACTAACCTAAATCTTCGTCTTTTGATTTGCAATGAGTATAAAGAGGTGGATTTGAAGGATGGTTCCAAATCACAACTTCCCACTTTATCAATGAAATGAAGGATGTTTCCAAATCACCACTCCCCACTCTGTCAATGGAAGTTGAGAATTGCATGCCCTAAAAAGGAAAGCCAGCTTTACAAAATGAGCCCATATATTTTCAATTTTCAATGTTCCTTATAGAAATATCTTTCAAACCAAAGACCAAAA